CCGGAGAAGGAAAGTGACTCCTTTCTGTAGAAAGCTTTTATTTCTTTCTGCCTATCCTTCCAAACACCTCTCCTTTGGGAAGGCAGTGCATTAATAGTTGTCATGGCATCCTTCCTATAGTGACCTTCTGTTACTGTGGACAGGGCTTTTGTCCATTGCGTGGATTTAGGAAAACAGATTCAGCAGACCTTTGGGACTGTCTATTTATTATCGATCTCACAAGCAGGAAGGGATGAGTCAACAGAGGCCACACCGAGGTCTAAAGTGAAGGACCTTCCTGCATGGTTTCCATGGCAGAGGTTATTGAGTGACATTGGCGGCGCTTTGGGCCTTTTAAGTCTGAGCAGAAACGAAACCCTTCAGGAACAGATAAATTAGCCCAGCATGATCCTTTAATAGTGGAAATAATGTGCTGAAACGATGGCATTGTGCCACCAAATTTGTTGATGCAGAGCATCGGAGAAGGTTGGGCAAGGGAAATAGGTCCAACTGGGTTGCTGTGAGTTTTCTAGGCCGTCTGACCATATTCCAGAAGCATTCTCTCCTGACGTTTTGCCCACATCTATGGCAGGCATCCTCAGAGCTTGTGAGGTCTGTTGTAAACAAGGCAAGTAGGGTGTGTGTATGTGTGTGTGTGTGTGTAAAGGTAAAAGGTTTCCCCTGACATTAAGTCCAGTTGTGTCCAACTCTGGGGTGTGGTGTTCATCTCCATTTCTAAGCTGAAGAGCCGGCATTGTCCATAGACACCTCCATGGTCATGTGGCCAGCACATGGAGCACCATTACCTTCCCGCCGGAGCAGTACCTATTGATCTACTCACATTTGCATGTTTTTGAACTGCTAGGTTGGCAGAAGCTGGGGCAGTCTGCGGAAGCTTACACAGCTCCCCGGATTCAAACCTACAACCTTTCAGTCAACAAGTTTAGCAGCTCAGTGGTTTAACCCACTGCGCCACCGGGGGCTACACACACACACACACACATATATGGAATGAAGTCCAGGGTGGAAGAAAGAACTCTTGTCTGTTGGAGGCAAGTGTGAATTTATTATTATTATTTATTTAGGGCTTTTATATCCCGTCCTATCTCAACCTCCGCAGAGGGACTCAGAACGGCTAACAAATCGGCACTTCATAGCGCCCACATCAAAAACATAGATACACAATTTAATGTTGCAATTGATCACCTTGATCAGCACTGAATGGTCTGCATCTACGATTTCGCCTGCATCAATGGCAAGCATCCTCAGAGGTTGTGAGACCTCACAACCTCTGAGGATGTTTGCCATAGATGCAGGCGAAACGTCAGGAGAGAATGCTTCTAGAACATGGCCATATAACCCGAAAAACCTACAACAACCCATTATTATTATTATTATTACTACTACTACTAAAGCCGTTACATCTGAGAATTTAAAAGTCAATCAAATCAAATTATTATTTATTTACAGTATTTATATACTGTATATATGTATATTTATAAGGCTACTACCTTATCGTTGTTGTCATTATACGGTTGTTCCCCAAGTTAGAGACTTTGAGCAACTTGCATTAAATAAAATAAACATAGTTAAAAAATTAAAGCTACAGAGCAATTAAACAACAATCAAATTACAACCAGTAAAAACCAATTAAGACGACAGCAACAAATACAAGTCCAGCGTATTATACCAAGCCTGGAAAAAATCAATCCTCGAAGGCCTGCCAGAATAAAATGGACTTGACTTCCTTGCGGAAAGATAGTAAGCAGGGAACCAAAGGAGGTTCTGGAACCAACAAAAAGACCCTCCACCACGTTCCCATCACATGTACCCATGATAGTGGTGGAGCAGAGAACAGGAGCTCCCCAGTAGGTTTCAGCGCATAGATAAGTTGATATGGGGGAGTATGGGTCTTCAAATAACTTGGACATGTGTTGTCGAAGGCTTTCGTGGCTGAAATCACTGGGTTACTGTGAGCTTTTCAGGCTGTCCGGCCATGTTACAGAAGCATTCTCTCCTGACATTTCACCTGGATTTATGGCAGGCATCCTCAGAGGTTGTGAGGTATGTTGGAAACTAGGCAAGTGGGGTTTATATATCTGTGGAATGACTAGGGTGGGAGGAAGTGTGAATGTTGCAATTAGCCATCTTGATTAGCACTGAATAGCCTTGCAGCTTCAAAGCCGGCTGGTTCCTGCCTGGTACCTCCAGAAGTTCAACACACCTAGACAGCACCAGGTCAGAGAATCATAGGTCGCACTATTGAAATTTTTTTTGGTCATGTCAGGAGCGACTTGAGAAACTGCAAGTCGCTTCTGGTGTGAGAGAATTGGCCGTCTGCAAGGAGGTTGCCCAGGGGACGCCTGGATGATTTGATGTTTTTATCATCCTCGTGGGTGGCTTCTCTCATGTCCCCACATGAGGAGCTGGAGCTGATAGAGGGAGCTCATCTGCTTCTCCCTGGATTCGAACCTGCGACCTGTCGGTTTTCAGTCCTGCCGGCACAGGGGTTTAACCCATTGCGCCACCGGGGGCTCCACTATTGAAATTGTCCACAGCCTTGATTATAATTGAGTAGTCTTGCAGCTTCAAAGCTTAGATGCTTCCTGCTTGGAGGAATCATTTGTTGGGAGGTATTAGCTCAAATAGAAAAGAGTTTTTTCTCCAACCCTGGACATTATCCCACAGATATATAACCTCACTTGCCTAGTTTCCAACAGACCTCACAACCTCTGAGGATGCCTGCCATAGATGTGGGTGAAACATCAGGAGAGAATGCTTCTGGAACATGGCCATACAGCCTGGAAAACTCACAACAATCCAACTTGGACATGGATCACATAGGGCTTTATAGTTCAGTACCAACACTTTGAATTGTGGTTGGAAATGGACCAGTAACACAGAGTTGGGTGGAGCCAGTCCCAGGTAAGTCAGAAACAACTTGAAGGTACACAACAACAACAACAGCAACAGCAGCAGCAGCAGCAGTAGTAATAATAACCAGCTAGTAAAAAGTAAGTCAACAAGTTAATCTTCTGTACGGCAGGTAGGTCATCAAAATAATAAACAAAGTAAATCTATATATCAGTCATCACCATGTATTTATGAATGTCTCACAAAATATCCTCCATAGCTCCATGGCTCTGGTCCAGGTATGGGCAATCTTTGGCCCTCCAGGTGTTTTGGACTTCAACTCCCATAATTCCTAACAGCCGGTAGGCTGTTAGGAATTGTGGGAGTTGAAGTCCAAAACACCTGGAGGGCCAAAGTTTGCCCATGTGGGCTCTGGACCAAACTTGGCACAGATACATATACACTTCGTTATCCAATTTAAAATAATTGAATGTTTGAACAAAAAACAACCCACTTCTTTCAAGCCCAGAGCTAGAAAGAAGAGGAACCCATGGATTGGCTGTTTCTAGGTGAAGTGGCCCTTTGTGATGTCACTGGGAAAAGAAAGAAGTGTGTGAAACAGATTGGCTGCTGGACGACATTAGTATGAGGGGGAGCGAGGAAGGAAAGAAGGGAAAGAGGGAAGGAAGGGGGAAGAGAAAAAGAAGGGAAAGAATGGAAGAGAGAAGGGAGGGAAGGGGAAGAAAGAAAAAGGAGGGAGGGAGGGAAAGGAAAAGGTGAAAGGTATGTGTGGAGGGTAGGTGATAAAAGAGAAAGAAGAGAAGAGAAAGGAAAGGATGTAGGAGGGTAGGGAAGTAGGAAAGAAAAAGAAGGGAAAGAATGGAAGGGGAAGGGAGGGGAAAGAAAGAAAAAGAAGGGAGGGAAGGAAGGAAGGAAAAGAAAAGGGGGAAAGGTATGTGTGGAGGGAAGGCAAGAAAGAGAAAAAAGGAAAGAGAAAGGAACTCACATAGGAATATAAGGAAGAAGGAAAGAAAAAGGAGAGAAAGAATGGAAGGGGAAGGGAGGGGGAGAAAGAAAAAGGAGGGAGGAAAGGAAATGAAAGGAAAAGGGAAAGGTATGTGTGGAGGGAAGGCGAGAAAGAGAAAAAAGGGAAGAGAAAGGAAAATACATGTGAAGGTATGGAAGAAGGAAAGAAAAAGAAGGGAAATAATGGAAGGGGGAAGAAAGAACAAGAAGGGAGGGAAGGGAAGGAAAATGGGAAAGGTATGTGAGAAGGGAAGGCAAGAAAGAGAAAGAAGGGAAAATAAAGGAAAGGAAGGATGAAGGTAGGGAAGAAGGAAAGAAAAAGAAGGGAAAGAATGGAAAGGGGAGAGGAAGAAAGAAAAAGGAGGGAGGGAAGGAAAGGAAATGGGGAAAGATATGTGTGGAGGGAAAGCAAGAAAGAGAAAGAAGGTAAAAGAAAGCATGTAGGAAGGTAAGGAAGGAGGAAAGAAAAAGAAGGGAAAGAATGAAAGGGGGAGAGGAAGAAAGAAAAAGGAGGGAGGGAAGGAAAGGAAATGGGGAAAGATATGTGTGGAGGGAAAGCGAGAACGAGAAAGAAGCAAAAAGAAAGCATGCAGGAAGGTAAGGAAGGAGGAAAGAAAAAGAAGGGAAAGAATGGAAGGGGAAGAGGAAGAAAGAAAAAGGAGGGAGGGAAGGAAAGGAAATGGGGAAAGGTATGTGCGGAGGAAAAGCGAGAAAGAGAAAGAAGGGAAAAGAAAGCATGTAGGAAGGTAAGGAAGGAGGAAAGAAAAAGAAGGGAAATAATGGAAGGGGGAGAGGAAGAAAGAAAAAGGAGGGAAGGAAGGAAAGCAAATGGGGAAAGATATGTGTGGAGGGAAGGTGAGAAAGAGAAAGAAGGGAAGAGGGTTTACACATGTTAGTGTATTCTACTATAGATGCCAATGTTTCTTGGGCCAAAGGTAAACTATCGATCTCAAGACTTCCGAAAGGTTAGACAAAATCAAGGCATTGCAAGAGCCGGATTGGACCATCATCCAGTACAGGAAACCAGGAGGAGCTCCAAATAACCTGATGCAATATATTTAATGTAGTGTGGTAGGAGTTAGTGTGGTATTTGTCTTTCTCTCTCTTTGAAACGATCATTCCAGAAACAATAGAGCGCCTACCTTCCACTGCAACGAATGAAACCACTGATCCCTCAGGTAACTGTTTGCAGCCTGAAATGTAGAAAGAGAGAAAGAGAACACGTTAAGTGGAAACATTAGATGTCACACGCCATTACACCAGAGCACACAAACCCATCGCTCTCACAAGGTTTGAAAGCCTGCAGAGCAGCCCAGCGCTTCATTTCTTTGATGCCATTAACCTTGCCCATCCACTCCCGGATTGCTCCTCGCTCCAGAACACGTCCTTTGCGTGTGTGAAGGACTATTCTGCCATAGCAACAGGAAGAGCCGGCGTTCGATTTATTTCTCTCCCTTTGCCATTGGAGATGCGACTGGAGCAGCAGCTTTGCAACAACCACAACATGATTTCCTTGCCGCCACCCGCCTCCCTTAAAATAAAGCTGGCAAAGGGTTGAATAAAAAGTAATGCCTCCACCTTCGTAACTCCTCAACAGATGGCAGTACTGGTATGGGACAGGTACTGGCTTGTTCAGTAGACTCTCCTCTACCATTCCATTTTGGTGGGAAGCCTAGCATTGAACAGTTGGGTTGTTAAAGTGCGTAAGTATGGAACCCTGCGCAGACGGTCGGTCAATGCGACTTAAGCAACGTGCAGTCATTGAATTCTTGACAGCAGAAGGTGTCACCTCAACATTTTAAAACTTACTCACCCAACGACACACAGTACTCACATCAACACAATCACCATAAACAGCTTGCATTCTCTGATGAATCTCCTTTGGGGTGACACCTTCTGCTCTCAAGAATTCAATGAGTGCACATTGCTTACGTCGCATCTGACCGTCTGCGCAGGGTTCCATATTTCACACTTTAACAACACAACCATTCAATGCTAAGGCTTCCTGCCAAAATGGAACTGTAGAGGAGAGTCTACTGAACAAGCCAGTATCTGCCTCATACCAGTACTACCATCTGTTGAGTAGTTACAAAGGTGGAGGCATTACCTTTTATTCAACCCTCGTACAACCCCTGCCAGTGTCCTCCACAAACACCATACTGCCCACCATCCAAGTGAAGGCTTTCATACCGGGACGAACATCATCCTAGAGTTTACATGTTTTCTCCACCACAAACATCCCAGTGTTTCTAACTCTCTCCATTGGTGTGTAATTTGCATGATCCCGCCTACCCATAACCCTTTCATACTCTTTTCTGTGGGACACAAAATTGATCACAGCAATTGAACATACTGCAGGAGGTTCTGGGACTGACCCAACATGATGGAAGTTGTAGTTCACCCTGAAACAAGACAGAGCACTGTGATCCCCACCAATAATGAATCTGGACCACCTTTGACACACAGAACCCCCCCGTGTACAACAAAAAATACTGGAGGGCTTTGGAGGGAATTCACCTTGATTTGGGGGAGTTTCAGTTCACCCACATCCAGAGAGCACGGTGATCAAAAACAATGATGGATCTGGACCACACTTGGCACACATACCCAATATGCCCAGATTTGAATACTGTAGGAGTTTTGGAGAGATCAACCTTGATTTTTGGGAGTTGTGGTTCTCTAGAGGGCTTTGGGGGGAATTCACCTTGATTTGGTTGAATTGCAGTTTACCCACACCGAGAGCACTGTGAACTCAAACAATGACCGGACCAAATTTGGTATGCATACCTGACATACCCAAATTTGGATATTGGTAAGTTTTGGGGGGAATTGGCCTTGACATTTGGGAGTTTTAGGTACTGGAATTTATAGTTCACCTGCAATCAAAGAGCACTCTGAACCCCACCAATGATGGACCTGGACCTAACTTGGTACACAAGAACCCTCATGACCAACAAAAGTACTGAAGGGCTTTGAGGGAATTCACCTTGATTTGGGAAAGTTGTAGTTCACTTACATCCAGAGAACTCTGTGAACCCAAAAAATGATGGATCTGGACCAAATTTGGTACGCATACCTGATATACCCAAATTTGAATATTGGTAAGTTTTGGGGGAATTGGCCCTGACATTTGGGAGTTGTAGGTACTGGAATTTATAGCTCACCTGCAATCAAAGAGCACTCTGAACCCCACCAATGATGGACCTGGACCTAACTTGGTACACAAGAACCCTCATGACCAACAAAAGTACTGAAGGGCTTTGAGGGAATTCACCTTGATTTGGGAGAGTTGTCGTTCACTTATATCCAGAGAACTCTGTGAACCCAAACAATGATGGATCTGGACCACACTTGGCACACATACTCAATATGTCCAGATTTGAATACTGGGGGTGGAGTGGTGGTGGGAGAGATTGAATTGGATTTTTGGGAATTGTAGTTCACCTACAACCAGAGGAACTGTGAAACCCACCGACGATGGACCTGGATCAAACTTGGCACACAGAACCCCCATGACCAAGCGAACCTACTGGAGGGGTTTGAGGGGACAGACCCATCATGGTGGGAGCTGTAGTTCATCCTGCAGCCAGAGACCCCCATGGACCCCACCAATGATGCACCTAGAGAGCAAACTTGCCTAACATGACAAACTTTAACCACTGATGGAGTTTCAAGAGGTTCATCTGGCATGATGTGAGCTGTAGTTCACCCACAACCTTTTAGGAGGTTAATCTGGCATGATGGGAGTTGTAGTTCACCCACAACCTTATGTACAAATAACCTGGACAACGCTGGGTATCCAAGTTAGTTAGTTATAAATTCAATAACAAGAGAAGCAAACCAACCCAAAGACAAACCTTTTAAAAAAGGTTAAGAGATTATGAAAAATCAAACATAAAAGCCAGGATGACACTCGAGCTTTAAAGGACACAACACGACACAAAAGATATGAGAAGAAGAGGAATGATGTAATGCACTCAGCTCTTAGGCTCTGAACGAGAGGAAGGCGGGTGATCATTCTTCAGTCTAATGGGTACAGACAAATATTTATCTTATTAATTGCTCAGCATGTCTGATTAATTAACAATTACAACAGCAACTAACAAGCCCAGCCTCTAAACGTGGTTGGCAATGGGACAGCAATCCCTGTTCATTTGTCATTCCATGGCCAATGGTCTCTCTCAGGAGGATGTTGATCGTTCAATATATTTTATTTGTATTTATTTACTTAGTTTTATCCAATTTCTCTCTCAATATAGGGCAGTGTTTCTCAACCTGGGGGTCAGGAAGGGTTGTCAGAGGGGTCATGTGGGAAGTTTGGCCCAATTCTATCTAATGTTCTTTGATTGTAGGTGAACTATAAATCCCAGCAACTACATCTCCCAAATGTCAAGGTCTATTTTCCCCCAAACTCCACCAGTGTTCACATTTGGGCATATTGAGGATTCATGCCAAGTTTGATCCAGATCTATCATTGTTTGAGTCCACAGTGCTCTCTGGATGTAGGTGAACTACAACTCCAAAACTCAAGGTCAATCCCCACCAAACCCTTCCAGTATTTTCTGTTGGTCATGGGAGTTCTGTATGGCAAGACTGGTTCAATTCTATCATTGGTGGAGTTCAGAATGCTCTTTGATTTTAGGTGACTTATAAATCCCAGCAAATACAACTCCAAAATGACAAGTTGTAGTTTCTCAAGGTCTTTAGCAGTGTTTCTCAACCTGGGGGTCGGGACCACTGGGGAGAGTCATGAGAGGGTGTCAGAGGGGTCACCAAAGACCATCAGAAAACACAGTATTTTCTGTTGGTCATGAGGGTTCTGTGTGGGATGTTTTTGCCAATTCTATCCTTGGTGGGATTCAGAATGTTCTTTGATTTGCTTGGATTTATAGGTGAACTATAAATCCCAGCAACTACAACTCCCAAATGTCAAGGTCTATTTTCCCCCAAACTCCACCAGTATTCACATTTGGGCATATTGAGTATTCGTGCCAAGTTTCATCCAGATCTATCATTATTTGAGTCCACAGGGTTCTCTGGATGTAGGTGAACTACAACTTCAAAACTCAAGGTCAATGCCTACCAGACCCTTCCAGGTATGTACTTATGCAGTGCTCAGGGACAACCGCCAGATGGCAGCATATAGTTAGAAAGGATTAGCTACTGGCCTATAAGCATGTATTTATAAAGTGCTCAGGTGCAACCACAAGAGGGCAGCAAATAGACAATATTAGCTAACCTATAGTATGCAATGCTCGTAGGAAGCAGCCACAAGAGGGCAGCGCACAGATAGAAAGGATTAGCCACTGGCCTATTGGTATGTATTTATGCAATGCTCAGAAGCAACTACAAGAGGGCAGCAAAGAGACAATATTAGATAGCCTATAGTATGCAGGGCTCAGGGGCAGCCATAAGAGGGCAGCACACAGATAGAAAGGATTAGCTACTGGCCTAAAGGTATGTATGTATGCAACAATCAGATGCAACACAAAAGGGAAGGGCATAAAGGATTAGCTACTGGCCTACAGGTTTGTATGTATGGAGCTCTCAGATGCAACCACAAGAGGGCAATATAAAGACAGAAAGGATTAGCTACTGCCTATTGGTGTGTATTTATGCAGTGCTCAGGGACAACCACAAGAGGGCAGCAAACAGACAATATTAGTTAGTATATAGTATTCAATGCTTAGAGGCAGCCACAAGAAGGTGGCACATAAATAGAAAGGATTAGCTATTGTTCTAAAGGTCTGTATGTATGCAAAAATCAGATGCAACACAAAAGGGCAGCACATAAAGGATTAGCTACTGGCCTATAGGTCTGTATGTATGTAGCTCTCAGATGCAACCACAAGAATGTCAACAGATAGAAAGGATTAGCTACTGGCCTATTTGTATGTATTTATGCAGTGCTCAGGGGAAACTATAAGAGGGCAGCAAACTGACAGTATTAGCTAGCATATAGTATGCAGTGCTCAGGGGCAGCCACAAGAGGGCAGCACACAGATAGAAAGGATTAGTGACTGGCCTATAGGTCTGTATGTATGCAACAATCAGATGCAACAAAAAAGGGCAGCACATAAAGGATTAGCTACTAGCCTACAGGTATGTATGCAGCTTTCAGATACAACCCCAAGAGAGTAGTGTAAAGACAGAAAGGATTAGCTAGTGACCTATAGGTCTGTATGTATGCAGT